AGTTATTTATAAAAACCGACGTATTATAATATTTCAAACGACGTAAGAACATAACAATCGACGTAATAATACATTTTCACAACGGTACTTAACCACCGACGTGATTAAATATTACAACGATGTTAATAATAAACAACCGACGTCTTATGATATAATTACAAAAAACAGAGGGTTAATTACAATAAACAAACGACGTTGTTAAAAACATTCGATGTGGTATTGCAATTAAAAAGACGTAAATAATAATATACCGTCATCTCTACAACAGAAAAACAAATTTGGAAAAACGTAAAATATTTTCAACCGAAAAATAATTAAAATGATTTTCAAAACAAAAACCATTGTTCAGAGAAATCAAACCTGCGATGAATATATCCTAAAAAATCAAATACAAAAAAAGACGATCATTTTAAAAAACAACATAGAACACTTTCACACGACGCTAGGATGACTGACGAACCATCGTGGTCTATAAATCTAACCACGTAAATAAGAAGCCATCGTCGTCTTATTTAGTTGAAGTAAAAGAAACAGAGTAGTGTTCAAACTTAGAAACTTTCCTTCTTTGTCTGCAAATTTTATCAAACTTGGCAAGAAAAAATGTAAAAAGATTTAAAAAACGAAAATGCATTCACGAAAGTTTTCTCCTCGAGTTTGGTGTTTCAGTTCAGAGACGAAGACGAAGAGGAGAGGAAGATGAAAAGTTTTCTCTCGGAGATACAGAAACAGCGCTTTGAGAATGAAAAATGAGAGAAGCTTGAAAGTTTTTCTCGGGTTTGGAAACAGTGCAAGTGTAGGTCAGGTAGGCGAAAAGTTTAAAATATTAAAATACATTTTCATAAAACGATGCGATTAATAGAATGCGCCCTAGTATGCGACATTATACGGCGCTATAGGTTTATACCGCCCTATTACATTAGTTTCCACGACACCTAGTTTTAAGAAAACGCCGTTTTTATTTCCAATTACACGACGCATTTGTCTTCAAAAAGATGTATCCCGTCATTTTCAAATTTACCCAACGCCCTTATACTCAATAATAACGACATGAAAAATATATAGCACGTCGTTTGAAATACGCATACCAACATGTAACTTTTTTAATTACACAATAAATTAGTTTTCCAAATAATTACAATGTCGTTTTTTTTATATACCGTCGTTGTTAATTAATTTATACGACCTGATTTTAGTTTTAAACGACGTTTATGTTTCCATATAAACGTTGATAATTTAATATAACCGACGTGGTATAAAAGATTAGTTTATAAATAAGGGTTTTTTTGTCTTTTTTTTGTCTTCATTTTTCAATTAGGGTTTCAACTTCTTCTTGCCCTTGGCTCTGTCTCACCTCTCTGTCTCACCTCACTTTCATTTTTCAGTTTGGATGTTGATGTGTGTGCGCGTTTGTGTATCTGAAAGACACAAACACGCTCACATCATCTAAAAAATTGTCTTTCTGCTGCGGTCGTCATTTTTCTGAAAGCAAATGTTTTGGATGTGGATGTGTGTGTGCCTTTGTGTATCTCAAAGACACAAAGACACACACATCATCCATTTCCAAAATATTGCCTCTGTGTGTTAGTTCGATTATGATGAGGAACATAGTTCATTCTGGTAAGACTTCACTTTAATTTGATGGTGACGACGGTTTCCTATATAAACCGTCATGGGTTATCACAAATCTTGTCATACTGTTTATCTACCGCTGTAGGAAAAAAAATCCAATAAATAAATCTTAAAAAGCAATTAAAATTAAGACGACGGTTTATATATAATGATAGACGTATAAAGTCAATTAATATGACGGTATTTTTAACTCCACGAAGTGGTAAAAAATTTGTACGTCGTTAATTTAACAAACCGTCGTGGTTAGTACAAATTATGCGGACAGTAGAGTTATGGATATCATCGTAGTATACTGTAATTAAAAATTCATTAAATTTATATTTACAGTCGTGGTAACTTAATTTAAATCAGCGAATTTTTTGGTAATTAACCGTCGTCAATTTCTTTGAATTAATGCGTCGCTGACTAAGAAAATTGGGTCGTTTTTATTTATGAGTTAATACAGCGTCTTATTTTTAAATCATCGTCTTTACTTTCTATGGCGGTGATTTCATAGCTGCAATCATTGTTTTTAGGTTCAGATTTTAACTCGGAACAAAACCTTTGTAATAAGACGACGCTTGTTTAATTTGGTGCGTCGTGGTTTAAAAATATCTATGCATATACCGGTTTTTTAGGTGTTTAAGTTATGTTTCTATTACCGTCATCTTTTAAAAAACAACGACAGTTTTTTGATCTACCGTCGTTGTTTTCTGGTCGTCTTTTGCCCTTTTTGTAGTAGTGGATATTGAAAATGTTATTTTGCTATTTTGGACATACATTTGGTATATGGATGGAACAATGTAATTCTCAACTTTTATTAATGGGAATGTAAATATTTAATTTTATATTATAAATCAAAAAGAATATAACAGGGAATTGTGGTAATTGGATTGACAAATATAGTACTATTAGCAAAATTAGGTGATGACTTAAGACTTAAGAGTCACATATTGCAGAAATTTAGACCTCTTAAATAATATATTATTGTTGGAAAAACTATTTCCGATAACAATCATTGGTCAAAAATAACAATCGCACAAAGAAAAAAACTATTTGCGACAGTCATATAAGTATTTGCGACCACATTTATTGGACGGAAATAAATTCACATGGTCGTTTTGAAATCCTATTTCCAACTGACATTTAACCAATATCAACAACTCGTGGTGGTCGGAAAAGAAGTATTTCTGATGGAGTAGTCGGAAAAGAAGTATTACCAACAGGAGCGGAGGCACATTGGGACCAGTGTCGTCCTAGGCTCCCACTCAGTTTTATTTTAAAAAAATAAAAGTATTATACTGTTATTGGATATCCTACATTAATTAATATATTTATTGTACCACATGGGGCGTACCAACTAAATCCCACGTCTCCTCTAAGGCCACCACGCTTCATTGTTGCAATCTCATTCCCAAAAGGTTCAACATGTTATAAAAATAAAGAAACTGGAGTATGGAAAGTACCACTAAATATTGGTAGTAGAATTATATTTGCTCTTGTGGTGTTTACACTAACAGAATTTCCTCTAAGATAGAACTCACTCACTAACACTCAGATTTCTCACTCTCATTTCCTTCTTCTCTTCTCAGTTGGTGTGTTTTACAAATGATCGGATTTGTCTGACTTTGATTTCTTGACTCTTCTGAAGCTCATGTGTGTAGATAAACTTTGGTGATATTTGCTTGGTCCTGTCACCATTGATGTATCCTCCTGTGATCTGAGAATACAAGCTGCATTGTCCTCATTCAGGATAGTTGGAGTGTCCATTACTGAGGGTAGGGCACATGTGCTTCGGATGTGATGGATCACTGACCTTAACCAAATGCATTCACGACTGGCTTCATGGAGAGCAAGTATTTTTGAGTGATTGGAAGATGTGGCTACCAATGTTTGCTTTGTTGAGCACCATGAGATTGCAGTTCCTCCACATGTAAACACATTCCGAGTTTGTGAGCGTCCTTGATGTGATTCATAGAGGTATCCTGCATCAGCATATCCAACAATACTTGGAGAATGGGTTGGTTCATTGGAATAGAATAAGCCCATGTTTGTTGTCTCATGAATATATCATGGGATATGTTTGATGCCGGTCCAATCTCGGCTTGTTGGAGCAGAACTGTATCTTGCCAACAAATTTACTGAAAATGCTATGTCTAGTCTGCTACATTGTGCTAAGTACAATAAAACACCTATTGCACTAAGATATGGTACTTCTAGACCAAGTACCACTTCACCATCCCCTTTTGGATGGTATGGATCTTTCTTAGTGTCAAGCAACCGAACGACCATTGGAGTGCTAAGTGGATGGGCTTTATCCATGCCAAACCGCTTCAATACTTTTTCAGTATAAGCTGATTGATGCACCAAAATTCCATTAGCACTATGCTCAATCTATAAGCCAAGATAATATTTTGTCTTTCCAAGGTCTTTCATCGCGTTTGAGATAATCGGGATTCTTTTGGAGCTCTTCAAGAGTCCCAATTAGATTCATGTCATCGACATACACTGCCACTATCGCAAATTCAGACTCTGATTTCTTAATGAACACACATGGGCAAATAGGATCATTTATGTATCCTTCCTTTAGTAAATATTTACTGAGATGATTATACCACATTCGCCCAGATTGTTTTAGCCCATATAATGACCTTTTCAATTTAATTGAGAACTTGCCTCGTGGTTTATTCCTGGCTACTCCAGGCAGCTTAAGTCCTTCTGGGACTTTCATGTATATGTCTGTATCCAATTCTCCATATAGATATGCGGTGATGACATCCATAAGTCTCATTTCAAGTTTTTCTGAAACCGCCAAACTTATTAAGTAACGGAATGTGATGGTGTCCATTACTGGAGAGTATGTTTCTTCATAATCAATTCCAGGCCTTTGTGAAAAACCTTGTGCAACAAGTCGCGCTTTATACCTTGCGATCTCATTTTTCTCATTGTGCTTTCTTATAAATACCCATTTGTAACCTACAGGGTTCACATTGGGTGGAGTTGGAACAAAAGGTCCAAAAACACTCCTTTTTTTTGAAAAAATTTAATTCTGCCTGGATTGCATCTTTCCACCTAGGCCAATTCTGTCTCTGTGTGCATTCATCAATGGAGCAAGGCTCAATATCATCATCGTTTATCATCTCAGTAGCCACTAAAAATGCAAATATATCATCAATGATTATCTCGTTTATGTTCCACAATTCATTAGTGGATGTATAATTTATGGAGATTTCTTGACTTTCAGGCACAACTGCCATTTGAGGGGCGCCTGTCTCACCAAGGACGTTTTCCCTTTTAGGGAGTACCTGTGCCTCTTCGAGGGCATTTGAATTATGAATTGTGGGCTCTTCAATTATTTCATTTGGATTCATTTTGACCATCGACTTCCTCTTTCAACGGATTGAGTCCTTTGAGCCTAATGGTCTGCCACGCTTCAGGCGTCCAACAGATAAATCATTTGTTGGCAAATTATTTTGTCTGTTATGGCCATCAATCCTTGCATGTGCATTTGCAGCTGGGATATGTGATTTTGTCACCTTTGTTGCATCATTAAATGCGTTTGGCATCTGATTTGCAATACTTTGGAGGTGAATGATCCTTCTCACTTCGTTTTCGCATTTAGCGGTACGAGGATCAACATGAGACAAAGTGGGTACATCCCACGACAATTCACGTCGTTCTTCAGGCACAAGTTTGCCTTGTTGTTCTTTAGGAACATATTTTTCTCCCCCTAATAGTGGGAAAATTGTCTCATCAAAATGACAATTCGCAAACCATGCGGTAAAGATATCACCTGTTAGGGGCTCCAGATATCTGATGATAGATGGTGAATCAAAACCAACATAAATTCCCAATATGCGTTGAAGGTCCATCTTAGTACGTTGCGGTGGTGCAATAGGCACATATACCGCACAACCAAAAACTCTTAAATATGAAATGTTTGGTTGATTGCCCAATACAAGTTGTACTGGAGAATATTGATTGTTGGCAATGGGGCTCAACCGCACAAGTGATGCTACATGTAAAATGGCATATCCCCAAGTAGAAACTAGCAACTTTGTCTTCATTAGCAAGGTGCGAGCTATCAATTGAAGACGCTTAATCAAAGCTTCTGCCAAGTCATTTTTAGTATGAAGATGAGGAACAGAATGTTCAATGTCAATGTCTAGTGACATGCAGTAGTCATCAAAAGTCTTAGATGTAAACTCACCAGCATTATCGAGTCTGATTGACTTGATGGGATAATGTGGGAATTGGGCTCGTAATTTAATTATTTGAGCTAAGAGCCTAGCAAATGCCATATTTCAAGTGGACAACAGGCAAACATGTGACCATCGGGTAGATGCGTCCACCAAGACCATAAAGTACCGAAATGGTCCACAGAAAGGATGAATAGGCCTACAAATGTCCCCTTGGATTCTCTGTAAAATTGATTGGGATTCAACATCAACCTTTGGTTGTGATGGTCTGATCACCAACTTCCCTTGTGAACAAGCTTGGCAAGAGCTGTCACTTGATAATATAATGTGTTTTGTCAACAAGGGATGTCCTTTAGAGTTGATGATGATCCTACGCATCATGGTGGATCCAGGATGACCCAATCAGTCATGCCAAAGCTTAAAGGCATTTGAATCAATGGACTTCTGGTCCATGACACTGTGTGCCTCAATTGTCCGTATGGTTGTATAGTACAACCCTGATGAGAGCGCACAAAGCTTTTCTAATATACGCTTCTGGGAATCACTGGAGGTAATGCAAAGATATTCCATGTGTTCCCTCATTCTTTGTTTCAACATGGTAGCCATTCAAATGTATATCTTTGAAACTCAACATATTCCTTTTAAAGTTAGATGAATATAAGGCATCTTGAATAGACAGTATTGTTCCATTTGGTAACATAACTTGGGCTGTTCCTGAGCCTTCAATCAGATCTGCAGGACCTGATATGGTTGTTACCTTTGCTTTTGTAAGCATCAAGTTTGAGAAATACTTTCGATCTCGAAGGATTGTATGAGTAGTCGCACTG